ACTAATAACTAGATCAAGAAAACTAGATATAACACATAATTAAAATATAAAATAATGTAAATATTATATAAATAATATAACATCTATATCAATATTATTAGTATTAAAATGGTAAAGAAAAGAAAAATTGATAATATAAATATACAAACCAAGAAATATTTAAATCTATAATCAGTAAATATCATAAAGAAATACAAAATATAAATATACAATATCTACTTCATTATATAATGTCAATAGATTGTTTAACTATAATCACTTATTAAAATACTTATAAAAATGAAATATATTAAATCTACAAGAAGATCGTATACATATCCTCATGAAAATAAACAAAGTAAAACACATATTATTGATGTAACCATTATTTAAAATGAAAAAATTAATAACTAAGTATTTTAATAAATTAAATAAATACAAAATATTATAAAATAAAAAATATAAATATGAGATAAATAAGAATTTAAGTTATGATAAATACTGTTTGATTTAATCATAAATAATCAATAAAAAATTAAAAAAATAGAAAATGATTTAGATATAATAACAATAACAGTACAAATAATATAAATAAAAGATAATATGTATTATTCATATAAAGATTGGAGTTTTAAGGATATAAACTCATAACCTATAGCATCTACAAAAGACTTTATTAAAACAGAGACTGATGAAAAAACCAACAATAATTATATTATTATAACTTCTCAAAACAATGAAAACAAGAATAAGTAAGTAAATATCGTTAATAGTATGTATTAACTATTATTTTACTAAAAAAATTGTTTTTATTTATGTACTATTTGTTTTATAAAAAGAATACTCTGGGGACTATGTTTAACTGTTAGTTTGTTAAAGGTTGTTGGAATACTTTTCTGTAATTTGTTATGAAATGAATCTTGTTTACACTGTTGTATTCTTTGGTAACCCCATAAATTCGATATCAATTTTTGAAGTTTGTCATCATATTTTCGTTGTTCTAACCTTAGACTTTTATGACTTTTTTAAATTATTTGTGTTTTTCTTATCAAGTTTCCTTTGTTTTTATAGAACAATCAAATTATATAAAATAACAAGATTTGATACTCATTTTACTTTTATTACACTCAATTGTTAAACATATCATATGAAGAATATTTTGGTATTTCAAAGAAACACTTTGAAACATTACTTTGATCTCTTTTTACACTAATAAATATATTTAACAAAACACTACTCAAATCACTCTCTATCTATTATACTCTTTAATGAAGAATAAAATTTATTTTTAGTATTCTAAATTACTTTAAGATCTACATGACTGAATTTATATCTAAGTTTTAAAGGGGTTAGCACATCAGTTTTTATCGAGGAGTTTTCTTTGCTTATTAGTGATGAAGATAATTTCATTATGGATTTTAAATTCGAAATGACCAGGTGTAAAGCATCAGGATTAACAATAACAAAAATAATTATTGTTTTATTGATATGCAGTTTTCGTAGTATTAAGAATTTCTTAAATAAGTTTCTTTAACCTCAATGTTAATAAATAGTAATTTTTGCAAGATTAACAATTTTGATTTTCTACTTAAAAGAAATTAAAAAGAATAAAAAAAATTTTGTTAATTAACAATAATTTTAATGGGGGAAGGTTTCGTGTAAGTCATAGAATGAAAGATTATCGTTGTTAGAGGTAACAAAGAAGAAATAATAAATTTGTCTAGACAACCTACAAACAAAGAAATTATTCCTGGAATAATTATACAACAAATGAAATAACTAATTCCATTAAAATGATAACTAATTGAATTGATAGATAATTTAAGGTTCATAGAAAGTAAAAATGTTCCAAGAACTGCTATAATAAAAGTAGCTAATACGCAAGGATATAATGATTTAAAGACTATACTACAAAAAGTTCAATAAATAGTACAAAAAAATTAAAATTAATAAAACAAACGTTGTCACTAACATACTGTAATAATAAACTACAACATATGTCGGATAGAATTTCATAAAACTTTTTCTCATTCTTTTAATAACATTATCAAAGTCATATTTATAAGAACCAGACATTAGTGCATTGATCTGAGAATTAATTGTTTTCACTAATTGTTCCATTTAATTTGATTTTTTGGTTCTTTTTTTTTGTTTTTTTTTTACTATGATAATGTTATATATTACAATACTAATTCAAAAACGAATTAAAAACTAATACATCATTTCATTTAATACATCATTCCAAATGGATAAAGCAGTAAAAAGAACAATAAATATGATCAACATCATAACACCAGATTTCCAAGTTTGTTCAAGTTGACTTAATAAATCAGTCTTTTCATTTTTTTTATTTTTTTTAGTAATAGGAGGTTTTAAGTCAGTGTGATTAGAAACATTCTTGCTAGAACCTTTGAAAGGGAGTTCATCTATAACTTTTGGAATTTCAATATTTCTTTTCTTTATTGGCTTTTTTGATTTATTATTTTTTCTTTTATACTTCCCTGGACTTTCTTTAAACTGAGTGTTGTGTTCTTTGGTAATTTCAATAACTTTTTCTTCTGGTTGCTGAGTTATTACTTTAACTTTTTCTTTGTCATTACCTATAAAAGAAGTCTTTTCCAATACGTCATTAATCGTTTTGTTTATTTCATTAAAATGTGATATTTTATGAAATTCAGTAGTTTCATTGATTTCTGTTATTATCTCATTTTCTTTATCAATAAAAATTTCGTTGGTTTTAGGTGATTCTTCTACATGATTAATGTTTAACTCTTTTGCAATAGTTTCAAATTGTTTTTCACTCTCTTTTTCTTCTTTTTTCTTTTCATCTTGTTTGATATTTCGATTATTTTTTATGTCTTTTCGTGTTGAATAATTCGTATTGATTTTACTTTCCTTAATTTTCATTTTTCGTTCTTTCTTTCCTATTCTTTCTAAAGACTTGATTTCTTCAATTTTTTGATATATTATTTCTTTTTTATCTTCTGTTTGACCTGATTTAATTTCTGTTTTAGAGTAATTTTTAGTTTTTTCTTTGATTTCTAATTGAGATAAATGATTATCTTCTTTTGGATCTAATAATTGAACTATCCGTTCATACTGTTTCTGTAAATCTAATTCTTCAAAAAAGTGATAATTAGGTTCAGGGCAATCTTCTTTTTGACATTCTTTGATTTTTAAATCTTCTTCTTTACGTATTTGATATGTTGGTTTAATAAGAAATTCATGATGTTGAATTGATTTAGATGAATAACTTTGACTGTAAATTTGTAAATGATAGCTCAAAGGAACATCGTTGAGATCTTTTGGAAAAGAGAACATTATGTTCAACTAGAAGTTCTTTTTTTTCATATTTTTTCAATTAAGAATAAAAGTATAAAGTTAAAATGTTCATGAATAAAAGAAAACCTAAAAATTGATTTTGGAATTATAAATAAAATTTGTTTTTTATTTGTCAAATCTAAATATTAAGTTATTAGTTTCATTTAACTTTTTTGGTAATACCAGAAAACAATTAGATAAATTTATGGTTTTTTTATAAACATACAAAGTTATTTGTTAAGTGTTTTTAAATAAATGTATTGTTAATAAAAGTACTAAGAGAAAGAATAAAACTTCTTGGCAATGATATTTATCGAAATCTTTTTAGAGGAGTGAAATTATTGCTTGAAAGACGTTTAATTTTTTCATATGACTTGAGAAATTCTAATCCTCTTTAATTAGTTGTTATATTAAACTTTTGTTTTATATTACTTACCCCTACTTTTAATGAAAAATATTCCATTATTAGAAACTAAACAAATTACATCTTGAAGTATTCAAAAATTACCATTTAGAAAAATGAAGGAGTGTTAATACTTTATGGTCTGCTAGTACCTCACAGTCATGTATTTAATAATTTCCTTTACATTTAAACAAATATTGTTTATAAATTTTTTTATAATTTTCTTTATAACACAAACTTATTCTTTTAATATAATTCAAATGAAAACAAATATCACTTGATTGGTCATATAAATAAAATGCATATCTTAGTTGTTTAATATCAAATTTTAACATTCCTTTTATTCTTCATTTTGTTTCTAATGAAAATAAAAATGAGTTTGAATCATTTGTATATTTATTAACTTTATTAATTTTAGAATTAATATACCCTCCAAATTTATTTCCATTTGTATCTTCAATAATAATTATTATATTCTTTGTTTATTATTCTTTGATTAAATACTGATGTATTCTGTTTCCAATTATCAATATCTGAATCAAATATTATATTAAATATTCTTCTTTCTGTCCATTCTTCTAGTTGTTCAATTTCTTCATTTGTATTCATTCCTTTCATTCTTTCTATTATCTTCTTTTTCTCTTCATAATCACTGTAATATGTTTTCCATTCTTCTTTCTTCTTGTTAAATGATTGGGTGATTTTATCTTTTTCTTCTGGTGTTCTGAATAGTTTATCTTTCATATCCATTTCTTCAATTGAAATGATTTTATTAATTATTTCATTCCGTGTTTTAATTAGTATTTCAGAATCTGAATTACATTCTTCTATTATTTTGTTCATTTGATTCTTTATTATTTCAACTACTTTAATAGTTTCTTGACTTTTTTCTATTATTAGTTTTCTTCTTCTTTCTGTTTCATCAATCCTATCAAATATTCCTTCTCCTCTTTTAATAGCTTCTGAATATGTTTCATCTGGTTTTATTTCAAATATTTCATTTTTAATACATCCTAAATAATAATGATATTGTTTATTAATATCATCAATTGATTGTTGAATATTTGGAAGTGTTTCTGCTATTTCTTTGATTTTTTTAGTAGAAGTTAGAGAATAACATTATTTATTAATAGTTAAAAGAAACAAATACACGTAACAAATAATTAAAATTTTTTTGTTTTTAATAACACTTTCATATGAAAAAAATAAAAAAAAAAAAGATTTGTTAATTCAGGTGATTTAAATTTATAATCAAAAACTTCAATAGAAACAAACTTTAAATACTAAATCACTAACCATGAGTACACCCGCACAACAGTTAAATGAGTTTATAGAAAGTCCAAAAGTTATTAAAGAAGGGTATGAAATAATAGACCAATTAATGAAAAGTAATTATAACGTCAATTCTCTTGTTACCGACTTGGGTGATACTTTACCAAGTGAAGACGAAAGAATAAGGTTCAGAGCTACATCTTTATTAACATATTGTTTAATTAAATATCCATTAAAAGAAGAATCAAAAAATGTATTTATTGATTATTTAGCTAGTCGTTTAGTTGATGCTGAATGTTTAGAACCAATTTTGACAGCACTACTTCAGTTAGTAACAAGGAAACCATCTGATGAAATTATTAATGAAATTGCAACGGCATACTCATGTATGAGAACTCAATTGTATACAAAAGAAGTAAGAATATTATTATATCAATTCTACAAAGTCTTTATTAACTATTATCAAGCAACAGAGGTAATAGACACATGTGTTCAATTAATAGAATTAGAACGTGATCCTGAATGTCTTAAAGAAGTATTTGACCTTATTAAATTGGTTTCTCAAAAAAATGAAATTGACGCAGATTCAGCACCATTATTATTTGACTGTGCATCAGCTTATTTTCCTATTTTATATCCACCAAAAGGGGATGAAGCATTAAGAATAGATTTAACAAATAAAATATTAGATGCATTTGTTTCAGCACCAATTTATGCTCAATTTGCATTACCATTTTTATTAGATAAACTTGACGCTGATTTATCAAGTATTAAGTTAGAAGCATTAAAGGCTATTTATTTTTGTATTCAACGATTTGAATTAAAATATGTTTATGCATATTTTACACATATTTGGGAATCAATAGAACAAAATATTTCTACTGTTGGTGTTGTTGAAGTTAATGAATTTGCATTTGCAATTGCATCATACTTTTGTTCATTAGATGATTTTCATTCTAAAAGTTTAATGGAAAATATTAAAATGTTTTGTTTGAGAATGATGTCAGAAACAGATGAAATTATTATTAATTTTGTAAATGGACTGTTAGAAGAACTTACAAAGAAATCAGAAAAATTCTTTAAATTATTTGTTCCTATTTTCATTCAATGTTTCCATGATCAACTGCAAGATGCTGATGACCGTCCTAAAGAGCAGTTTGAAAGAGAACTCTTTATTGTTCGTTTAATTTATCAACGTATTATTGAAGGAATGCCATTATTAGATTGTGTTAAAGGGCAAATTGCATGGGATCTCCATATATTAGCAACACCATCACATCCATGTTTTGTTAGTCTTTTAGATATAGATGTGTCATTAGCTTTATTAAATCTTATTGGTGAACAACGAATGGTTCCATTTCAAAATGCTATTGAGTTAAGTGAAAGTAAATGTCATGATGCTATCCCAATATTACAAAGACTATTTGAAAAAGAAGAAGATATTATGATTTCATTATTACCAGCAAATAAAATTATTACAAACCTTGAACTTGTTAGTGGTATTGCACTTCATAGTCCTAAATTATTTGAACAACTTTTGAAATTAATTCCAACTTTACAAACTAATGAATACGTTCCAGTTTTTCAATCTATATTATCAGATGCTCTTCCATTCAACTGTTTAGATGTATATGTTAACCATTGTATTCCGGTATTTATTGTTATTACTAATGGAATCTTATCACCATTATTCAACACCTTGATGAATAGACTTAGTCGTCTTCATTCGATTCTTAGCTCTAAGAAAATCTCAGAATTAACTGAAGGTGTATTAAGTCAATTAAAAGAACATTCAAGATTATTACTAATACTTCCTTCTTTACTTCAATTCTATCAACCAGAAAATTTAATAGTTTATTTAAATGAAGTAAAAGAAGTGGATAAAGACACTATTGCTATATATTCACTCCTTATTACTAAACTAACAACTACTATACCTCATGTACTTGAACAAAATAAGGAATATTTTAATGGATACAAAACTATTCAAGAAATAGATTCTCATGAATCAAATAAACAATCTACACCAATATTTATTGAAGAACTATGTCAAATGAATAATAAAGCTATTGAATGTTTAAAAGAAATGATTGTGTTTGATACTATTAATAAGAAAAATGAATTGGATTGGAAAGAGGAATTGTTCAATCTAGTTTATGAACGATTTATTGAATCACATCAAGTTACTACTGTAGAAGAAGCCCATTTAATAATTCTTCTTTTCTCCTTACTTCCAACAGATAAGTTATTAACATATGAAAATACTATACTAAAAATATTTAACATTATTTGTGTTCCAACAAGTCATTTAAATGAGATAGATAGTGTTGTAGTTTTATTATTTAATATTTTACCAACTGTGTCTCAATATCCAATGTCATTAATAGAAAGTGAACTTGATTCAATCATAACAAAACTTTTTAATGTTCTTTATATTAATGATACAACAATCAAATATCGATGTGATATTATTGATTTACTAACCCGTATTCGTGTTGTTTATGGCATTGATGCAGTAAGGCCATATCAAAAGAATGTAATAAAGAAATTATTAGTCCCATTAGATGACAATAAGCGATTAGTAAGAAGATCTGCTGCAATCTGTAGAAACATTTGGGAAACAACAGCATAATTGAAAAGCATTATTTTTTGTTTTTCTAATTTTGTTATTTTTGAGAGTTCTATTCAAAAACAATAGAAAATTTAATGTGTTTACTGAAGAAGATTAAAAAACTTATTTTTATTATTGTTTCATAAATGACAATCAAGACTCTTTAAATATATTCTTTAAGTCCTCTTTTGGTTGGTTTAAAGGATATATAAATCAAAAAAAATTGAATTTGAAGAAGACAAGAATAGTGTTAACAAATATGTTAATAATTACATAATGAAAGGGATATTAATCAAACAAAGTAATGACTATTAGAAATAATTGAAGATGATGACTCATTAAATTCTTAAACCTTAAAGCAATACACAGTATCTAATTTAACAAATCAAATTTACTAAGATGTTTTTGTTGGACTGGTTGTGTTAGAAATTTTATTAATTGGTTGTGTTATATATTAGTTTACAGTATTAAGAAAAACCCACTACTTGTAAAATATTTTTTTATAACATATCTATTCCAAACATTTAGTTGAAAAGAGTTCATATTGTAAATCCTATTATAAAAGAATCACTCACTTCGTAATGTATTTGTTTAAGACATATAATGAGATATTTATATTTCTACATTTACTAAATTTATTGTATTAGTTCTTCCTAATATTACTTAAATTTATCTTGTTAATCTAGCACTGAAATAAATACAATTGAGATAACAAAAGTCTTCTGTTGTACAAAACTCTTTATAAGTTCCTTCTTATATTAACATTCAACAAACTGTTCATTAAGTTAAATTCAATCATTTATAATACCAACATAAAAGCATTCTCTTGAAATAGAAATATACATTGTAGTAATTTATCTATTAATCCATTATCATTATTGTTCTTCTCTGAGACTTCTTCAAAAGATATCATTTTAATTAATACTATCATTTCTTCATTTTAATATTTATTGGATTTCTAATAAATTCAACAATAAATGTCCATTACTAGATACCTCATCAAAGAAATATGAAACTGCGATGAATCTCTATTCTCAAACCATATACATGAATTATTTCTAATAAATAGGAAGTTTCATTTATTTTTTTACATAAAAATAAATTATTTATAAATCTTTTAAGTGATTATAGTTAAGTGAATTGAGAGCTAGACTTTATGTTAATACCTTTTTAAATCCAACTGTATCTATATTTAATTTTGGTTCACTCTTTGATGACCAAATATAAAGTTAAAGTTATAATAAATGCTTCCTACTATACTAACATTACTTCAACTGTAACTTATTTAAAAATATGAATAAATTATGTACACTTAATCTCAATTATATTTGATTGATTAAACTGTCTCATTGATTTTATCTTAACTGAACTACAGAATAACCTATAAAGTCTACTTTCTTTATAATTCAATACCATAACAATTCAATATTATTAAAAGTCATTTACAACGATAAAAATATTGAAATCTAAACAACAACAAAATTATCTTTAAACAATCTTTGAAGAAGAGTTTTTTAATTTCAGAATTTCTTTTAACTTCATTCAAACTACTTTTAATATATCAACATTTATCTCTAATTTCTATTTTAATTTAAACTTTTACTTTATATCTAATTTATTTTTAGAGTCGATATATTTTTATAGGTATTCTAATTAAAAAAAAACTTTAATTAAATTTACGTAAGAATCGGACTTGTGAATCAAATTGAATTTCATACTTTCCATGTTCTAAACGTACTGGCTCTCCATCACACTGACAATTGACACTATCAGATTCAACGATAAATATAATAGAATTTAATTGTGTTATTCTTGTTCCTGGAACAATACCTGCTAATGTCTTGATAACATGAATTGGATCAAGAAATCCAAATACCTCAAGTAATTGATCCCCATGACTTGGAGATTTCCAACCTTTAATCCTATCAAGTTCTGAAGTCTCTCCCCAAGGGTGAGCTCCTCCCCCATATAATGGAATATTAAGAAAACAAATACCTATTAATGAACTTATATCAAGTGGTTTTCCATTAACGGTGAATGTTAATGATTCACTTAAAGGTGTAGATTGTTTAACTGCATTTAAATAAGACAATCCATAATTCATTTTATTTTTGAGTGCATTATCAAATTTTTTTGGATTTGCTTGTCTTTGAGCATGAAAATCTGCAACAATATCAGCATCTAATCCAAATGAAAAATAGTTATTAAAAATAATTTCATCACCTCCTGATTCAGAAATTACTTTCCATCTATCAAGTTTTACTTCTGCACAATTATCAATTTTAATAAGTAAATTTTTTACTGTTTCCATAGCACCATCAAATGTACTTCCCCATCCAAGTGTATTTGATAAATCATTTCCTGTTCCTAATGGAAGTGGAACTAGTTGTGGAGATACATTATGTTTCTTACATTCATTCATAGCCCATCCCATTGTACCATCCCCTCCTGCAACAATTAATGTAAAGTTGTCATGATACTTTTCTACAAATTCAAAAAGAAGATCCCAGCCATTAAGAATATCAAATACTTGGAGTGGATTAAGAAGTCGTAGACAATACTGAATAACACTTTTTCCAGTTTGACCTCCTGATTTACTGTTAACAGCAATTACTTTAGGAACATAATTTTCTATTAACTTCATTCTATCATTTTCTTCAACATAATCTGGTGGAATAATTATATGTGATAATACACCATAACTACATTGCCTTGGTGCTTTTCTTACACAACACTGATGACAAACTAACCCACACCAACTACATTTTAATCCACCCGTACACCCTCCCACTAATGGAGATGAACAAATATTACATTTTACACCAACAGATACACCTTTACAAAAACAATGTGAAAACCCTGTTTCTCCTTTATACGGTTTACAATTAGCATTAACATACTTAAGACATTTACTATGGCAAGTTATTCCACATAAACTACATCGATATCCTTGTTGAACAAATCCAACAAAAAGTTCATCACATATTTGACAATATGTTGGAGATGAAAAAGTAGTAATTTCTAAATGATGGAAGTGGTTAATTAATCCACTTGTAACAAATGCCTTCTCTTCTCTATGACATGGAATAACAAAATTATCTTTACAAGATGGATGAATTTTAGCTCCACAAATACGACATTTAAAAGATTCTCCTGCAACTGGAAAACTACATACAACACACTGAACTCCAATAACAGTACATTTAATTAACTCATGTTGAGGAACACATAAATTATGTTTTTTGAAATCATTTGGTTCAATACCACTTTGTAGAGGGATCTGCATTTGAATTTTAAGATAAAACAAGAATAAAAATTTGTTAGAAAACTGAGCACAATATTATATTAAAATTATAATACTCATCAATAGATTAATACAAAAATTATTAATTACTTGAAAAAATTAAGTTATATTAACATAACACTATCACTTTGATACAGTTCAAAGAACTAACCATAAAATGAGTTATTTAGATTAAGAAATAAGTGTTTAAATAATCCTCAAAATTTTCTTAAAACAATTAAAGATATTTTGAGATATATTAATTGAATAATTTTTTATATGACACTTAAAAAAATAAAAGAAAAGTTAATTAACAACAATCAGATTTTGCTTGGCGAGTGTTGTTTTTATCATCTTGAAATACAAGGGTTGACTTTTTACGATCAAATAACTCATCATCTCCAGAAGATTTTCTCTTATCAACCATTTGTTTAGTTAAACCTTCAAATACATCAGATATACCATCACCAGTTGCACATGAACATAAATAATGAATAGCCTTTACTGACTCAGCATATTTATCAGCTTCTTCTTTTGAAATTTTACGTTGTTGAATTAAATCCATTTTATTTCCAACAATAACAATACAACAATTATCTCCTAACATATCTCTAATATTGTCAACTTCAGTTTGTACTCGTTGGAAACTTCTTGGTTCAGTAATGTCATAAACCACTAACATTATAAATATGTAATAATCTTATTTTTTATCACAAAAAATATAACAAACAAATCGCTCCTTGTGAATCCCTATAATATATTGGTGTTAGTGCTTGATATTTTTCTTGTCCTGCAGTGTCCCAAATGTTAATGATATAATCATTTTTATCAATACTTAATGTTTTTGATACGTATGAAGCTTGTGTAGTACGAGGACCTTCTTCAGGAGTGAAAAAATTTTGGGTATATCTTAATATCATCGATGTCTTTCCAACTTTTCCTTCCCCTAACAAAACTACTTTGAATTCGTTTTCCATAAGATTTGATTTTTTTCAGTTGATTCCTTTTTTTTTTTGAGTAGTTAGTTGTTTTCTTCATATTTTTTATGTTATTATACTTTACTATTATTTATTATTAAATTATTATAGAACTTAAATACCTTTTTAAGATGAATTATTGACAGAACTATCTTATAGTAACAGAAAATTGATTTATACTTTGATGTTTTCTTTTGAACTTAAAATTAAAATAAGATTTAAAAAGAGAAAAAAGACAGAAAAAATCTTATCTGATGCAATCTTTGATCTAAAAAATAAGAAGTGCCGGTTTGAATCAAATTTTAGGGTTGAGAAGTTTGGATCAAAAAATATAAATAGAGCATATTTAAAGCAAGAACTGGAACTGAAAGAATTATTATGGCTGAAGTACCACCTACAGAAACGAAACCAAATGAAGTCTCAACTACAAATAATCTTGTTTCTACACACGAAACAATTCCAACACAAAATGTTATTACTACGATTAAGAATGAAACTACTCTTGAAACACACCCAACAAACGATGTTCAAAAGAAACCAGAACAACCTAATATCCAGCCAACAGTTTTAGAAGAAGCGAAAAAGATTCAACAAACGGACATAGTCAAAAATCAAGAACCAAAAAATGAGATTATAAAAACAAGTGAAGAAATAAAAAAATCTATAGAAGTTGAAAATAAAGGTAAAGAAGAAAAATCTCAAATTGTTAATGTTATTAATAATAGTAATCCTATTGAAAAACCAACCGAAGAAGAAAAAAAGATTGAAACAAATGAAAAGAAAAATGAAATAAATACTATTCAAGGTGAAAAACAAGAAGAAGAAAAAAAAACAGAAGAAAAACAAGTTCCAGAAGTTAAAAAAGAAGAAACTAAACATGAAGAATTACCAAAAACACTTGGAGATCCAAAAAGTATTCCAAATAAAGATGAAAAAATCCTTGGAGAATATAAATTTTGTAGATTCTGTGAAGGAGAACCTTATGAAACTAATGTGTGTTATTTACCTATTATTAATAATAGAGTTGGTAATTTTCCAATAGTTCTCAAATTAAATCCAAAGTGTCAATCAAACTATATTTGTTTACATCATTGGAGAGAAAATCGAAGAGAATATCTTGAACATTACGTTCAAAATGAAAAAGGTGTTATTGATGAAGCATCTGTTTTATTATATGCTTCAATGCTTGACAAAAAAATTAATTTTAATTATGTTCCTTCTATGTCTTCTATTCCAGAAGATACTCGTAATTTGTTTAGTAAATACTTAAGCCTAAGAAGACAAGAACTTGAAATGGCTATGGGATCTGTTCCAGCTGGATTATCTGTAACAAGTGATTTACTTTGTAATGCATGTAATGCTCCTACTCAACAAATGTTTGATATGTCTCTTTTCCCACAATCCTTTATTCAATTTTTGGCATGGCAACGATTAATGCAAATCTATTCAAAACTTGATGCTAGCAATATTGAAATGTTAAACGCATTAAAGAAAGAAGGAATAAAAGAGGCAGAAAAAGTTGTTAAAGACGCAACTAAATTTGCCTCAGAAAATCCAAATGATGCAAGAAAACGACTTCAACCAGATTATGTTCCTGAAAAAGTTCTTGCAAAGAAACCATTTAAACAAGAGAATGGATCACAATTCACATTACCTCCAATTAGTACTGCTTCTAATACAGCTGTTTCTCTTCCACCTATTTCAACAAGACAAGAGACTCGCGTTAGAACCAATTATCCATATTTTGAAAATGAAGAAACTAAAACAAAGATGATGGAACTTACTAAACCAACAATAGTTATTGGAAGAAAAGGTAGAGAAAATGATGTTGATATAGATTTATCAGCATATATGGAAGCTAAAAGTATTTCACATACTCATGCTATTGTTCAATATGATTTTGGAACAAAACGTTGGAATTGTATTTTAAAAGGAAGAAATGGATTAAAAATAGATACTGTATTTAAAAATAAAGACACTGTAACTGAATTACACAATGGTTCAATGATAGAAACTGGTACTTTTAAATTCTCTTTCCATTGTCCGGATGATTTTGACGGTAATTTTTAATTTCAATGTTTTGTAAGGAATTTTTATATTATTTTTTTAACTTTTATTCTTTTTTTATTGACCGTATTAGAATAAATAGAACTACAAAAATTCATTTGTATTTTTTACTTCCAAAATGAAATTTGGTGTTTTAATACTCTTTGTTATTAGTTGTTCTGCACACCAAACAGCAGAACTAACCCCACTTTCAGACTGTACTAAAGGAAGAATTACTTATTATGATCAATGGGCCAGTGGAGGATCTTGTTCATACGGTCCTCAATCAACAAATATCGTTCCTGGGTATATGTTTGGAGCAGCTCCAAATGAGGCATTTTATGATGAAGCAAAGAAGTGTGGAATTTGTTATGAGATGGTTGGTCCATCAGGAACATTAAGATTTAGAATTGATAGTAGATGTCCAGTTAAAGGAAATGAAAAATGTTGTAGTGGTGATATGTATCATTTTGATATGTCTGGGAATGCTTATCCTTATGTGGAAACATATGGTGGAACACCAAATGTTACAGTAAGAATGGTTGCATGTGATTATACTGGAAATATAAAATTAAAATCTATGAATGGATCAAGTAAGTGGTGGTATTCAGTTGTTATTTATGAACACACATTAGGCATTAAATCAGTAGAAGTCAAAGACTCTACAATGAATGATTTTATTGTGTTAAATAGAACTGATTATAATACTTGGCCATTTAAAATTGAAGGAAAAGCTATTGAATTTCCAATTACCTATAAAATTTATTCTATCAATGATGACTATGTTAAAGCAACTGTTACTTCAGATGATAGTAATCAAGTTACAGAAGCTGATGGCAATTTTATTATTCCTAAAGATGTTTATTTCGATTTTAATACTTTAGCTAAAAAACCTAAACCAGTTGATGCCGTTGAGTGTTGTACTCTTTGGGATGACTTTTCTATAATTTATGAAGAAAAACAACTTGTTGGAGCTTATAATAATTGGTCTCCAAATGTTGAAGTTGACTTTAAATACACCACAAATCCTAAGACTGGAAATTATTGTGTAAAAGCTGTTTTTGAGAAATGGGGATGTTTACAATTTGGATTACTCAATCCCGCACGTGCTGATCAATACTCTGCAATTCAGTTCCAGATGAAAACTGATTTTGAATGTAATAACTGTTTCTTATTTAAAGCTTTTAAAACACAAGAAAATGGAATGAGGTTATCTACCAAATCAGCTAATGAATGGACTTATTTTAAAATATCTCTTAAAGATTTAAATGTTACTGATAATGAATTCTGGGGCTTCTGGGGTCAAAACTATGAAAATCTCCCACACACCTTTTATTTTGATGATATCACTTTGATTAGAGATGAGAATGCTCCTGATGCAGGTCAGTGTTGGAGTAGTAATAATACTAGTGGAAGTTTATCTATTTTTATCATGGCCATTGGAGTATTGGTATTGTTATTATTTTAAGTGATAGATTGATTTTTAATACTTTGTGTTTTCTTTTAACCCATTACAAATGTATTCACAATTTGATTGTCTTTATAGTGCATAATGATTATTTTAGTTTTTAATTTATGATATTTCTATTGATGACTAATGGATTTAGATTGTTATGATTCAATTTTCATATGATAATGATGTTTGATGAAGAATGTTTCTCAGTAATAAATGAAATTGATTAGGGGGATCGTTTGTTTCATTTTATATTTATTAATTTAATTTAATCGAAATTTTTCAAATTAAACTTTGTAAAATTTCAATAATAGTAAATTAAATAGAACAAATTATATATCTATTTAATAGAGAAATGGCCATTCAATTTAAATCATTCTTGACGATAATTGAACGTGTCTTATTACAGTAATAATCAAAAAAAAAAATTATCAAAAGATGTTCTTTTGTACTATTTCAAAAATTCTATAACTCTATTTCTCATTCTATGATTTTCTTTGAGTTTTTTTATAGTTTTTCAATAAGGGATTATTTTTTTTCTTTTATTAAATATTGTTATTTGTAACTTTTTAATTGTTTTATTTTTTTTTCATTTTAACCAACAGAAGTATAAGTGAATCAACAATAATTTAATAAATTATTTTTTTCTTATCACTACTATCATTAAACACATAGACTCTTTTTGTTTTGACTTGTTAGAATATATTTTTTTATAAAATTTCTTCTTTCAAGAAAACATAGATTTTGTTAAAAAACAATAAAAAGAAAAGCAAAATCTACAATTACTTCATGCTGAGTCTTGAAGGCTGGAGTAAAGAAATAACTTTGGAATTACAAGGAGAGACAAGGGTTGAGTGTTGATCAGTTTGATTAATTATTTTTCCACTTTGGTCTATTTGATTTGAAACGATTAATTTTGGTGAAGAACGTTCTGAAAACATTGGAGAAACAGAAACAAGACTATCACTTATTTCAATTTCTTCTGGATTGTGCATAAAAACACTCTTCTTTCTTGCATTGAAACACCTTTTAGAAGAGGGGAATATTGTTAATATATTTTTTAGGATAAATGAAAATAATCTATTAATCTGTTTGCTATAATTTAACAAAGTTGGTCCTTCTAATTTTGGGTCTGAATAAAATACATTAGGAGCAACACAAGTTGATATAGCTTCAATGGTCATTTTCGACTTCTCACTTTTCACTAAATGAGAACAAAATGAAACTAAATACTTAAGACAAGTGAGATGTTCTGGTGGTAGTGTTAATGCTATATCAGAATGAATTTGTAGAGAAATCTTCTTTTCTAATACAGGATCCATTTCTCCTGTTTCTGTATTAATACCAGCAACTATTTCATTATCCCATTTCTGAAAAACAGCAATAGCATTTTTTGGAATTAAATTACCAGGAATTTCTTTAATAAATAATTTGACTAAATTAGCAACCAAATAAGGGTCTTCATGAGAATAATTGGTTGCTAAAAATTTCATTTTTGCAAAATTAAGTTTATCAGGAGTTGAACTTAATCTAAAAAGACCTTCTTTGTTAAGTCCATTTAAAAATAAATACTTTAATGCTTTTTCAAGTCCCAAAGGAATTTGTGCATCAACTCTACCCTCATCTTCAAGTAATTTTTTTAAGGGAATTCCAAAATAATTTCTATAAGTTGTAGAATCTATTTTTTCATTTTCTTCATATGCTGCTTGTAATTGTTCTTGTTGTTTTTTTGCAACTTTTACCTTTTCCCTTAATACATTTACACTTACCATTCCTTCATTAAGATTATCAAAAGAATCAAAAACGTTACAAAAACGGGAAAGTGATTCTATCTCAAATTTATCGATTGCCATTTGTATATTTGCTACTGCTTGTGATAATTTTGGGCTTGTTGAACTTCCTGTTGTTCTTATAGAATCTAGTTTTGGTCCGTTTGTTACCATTGCTAATTCTCCATCAATTAACGAACGAAGTGACTCACATAAATACTTGTCAAGGTCTAACTGTAGTCGATCTAATACCCTAACAAAATTATCAACAATTTCTCCACATTGCCCAAGTGCAACACACACCCTTTGGATATTACTAATATCACTCTTTTCAAATTTAGAGGAATATGATTTTAATGTTTCTGAGACAGAAATTCCTGTGTGCGCAGCAACTACTCAATTATTAACTGATAATGTTGCTTCGTTTCTTTTTAAAAAAACTAAGTTAAATGAGTCAAAGAAAACTCACAAACCAGCTATATTCTGAACCCACTTTTTACTTCTTTTATATAATTCTTTTTCATTAGTTCTGATTTCTTCAACAAGTGCTTGGTTTTTCTTTGCATTTTGTAGAAATTGTTCTTGTGACTGTTTTGTGATTTGTGAAGATGATCTCATCTTTCTTGTCTTCTCAAAACCTTTCTATCATTTTAAGTTCTTTAACCAAAGAGTTCCCTAAGCCTCTTTTCGTGTTATAAAAATAAATAGTACCATCTATTTATAAAGTTTCATCTTAAAATACAGTCTCAGTTTGTGAGAGAAGAACTAATTTAAAAGAGATAAACCAATAAAGGTCTATACACTTAGAAGTGAAATACATTTTATTATTATCGAATGTAATAAAAGTAACTAAGGAGAACAAAAGTAAATAAAAAAATAACAAAGATAATATTAACGTTTGGTTCTTGTATTAATTATATTTTTTTTATGTTATAGACAAAAATTAGAAACTAAATGAGTTAGAGTCCAAATAAAATAACAAGAAATCCAATCTTAAAAGTAACAAGATGATTAAAACATGATGATATCTCAAATGAAAAGAAAGAAGAAGGAAAATTAATAGATTAATTGAATTAGATAGCACTTGCTTTGTTTAAAATAAAAGTGGATAATGGTGGAATACCAAGGAATTTTTCTGATTTGGAGAAGATTATTGCTAAAGCTATCATAACCAATTTAATAATAAAGCAAAGAATCAAATAACCAAACATGATAAATTCCCAAATTCCTCCCCAAGTAAGAGTTGAAGTAAGAATTAATATAAATATGGTAAATAGAATATAAAAAACAAAGACATTTTGAAGTGCTAAGGCTCTACAATAAACATTTGCTTGTTCAAAAAAGTAAATAAATATTGATGAAAAAAGACATGTCGTTGAAATAATTGACTATTACGATAAATTATTTATTCTTTTCATTATTTTAATAACCTCTTTTCAAACAAACTTCAAGAACTACTGGTAATCCAATTGAAGTAGTACTATTACTAGAAGTGATGCCCCCCTCCATTTAATTCTTAAAATTAATTGGTTTTTTTCTAGATTTAACTTTTCTAGAATAAATGAATTTTCAAAATAAATTTGTGTTTTTCGTGTTTTCTGTGATTTAAATTTGAATAAATCATTTTTGTTATGTCTTTTCTCTTCTTTAATAAACAGAATCCATTCCTCATGACAGGCATTCTCTTTACATGTCTTCCTCACAAATCAAATGGAACTTTGATTTTCATGTTGAATATTAATTTATTATTATTATTATTTTGTTATTAAATTTTGTTATTTTAGAGATAGAAGAAGAAACAGAATTTCTCATTAGGAAAGGTCATTTTTTTTTCAGTAATAGACAGGCAGACTCTTTTGAATCCCGTTGGATGAAATAGGGGGTCAATAGGCAATGAGAAATTTGTCATTTTTAAAAAATGGGATTAGTTAAGAGAATATCCCGAAGAAATATGATAGAAGAGAGTGGGAAGTATTTGAAAGTCAAAATGGAATAAGAATTGTTGATTGAAAAAAAAAGAAGATTTAAAGAAAATATTCAACAAACTAAAATGTAGTCAAGTTAGATAATGGCTTTTCCTTTAGATTTGATAGGCAAAATGCTGTGTTGCCTATTTAAGTTCAAATAAGGAAAAATATAATACAAATGAAAACAACATCTGTCGAAGCTCAAAAACAACGGATTAGTAGAAATGTTCGAGCTGAATGTAATGCAGATACATTATTATTTGCTATTCTTATGGGAGCTGAAGTTCAATTTAATAAAACTAAAATGAGTTCATTTGCAAAAAAAGTCTATATTGGAGATAAAATTATTATTGATAATGAAGTTAAAACAGGATCTACAGTATTAAAGGGTGGTGTTTTATTTGAATGTGCTATGAGAAAGTTATGGGGAGAGAAAAGAATTAGATCTACAAATGAACTCAACATCAATTCAGAAGTTATTTCTCCTTTAATACAATTAGAAGAAATTCAAAGAATATGTTATGAGAAATTACCGATATTAGAATCAGATGCACAAACTAATCCTAATCTTATTCTATGGGGAAATAATGAAAATGAAATAATAGAAAAAGAAAATATTAATTGTTTAAGAAAAAGAAAAACTAAAAATAAAGAAGCAGTTTTTAGTAATTACTTAAGTTCCTTTTTAATTCAAAAAGGAATGACTTTAACATGTCAAGTTATGGCTAGAAAAATGACTATGAGAACACTTCATTTCTTTGTATGGAAAAAATATATTCTTCCTAATGGTAAAATAATTACTTCTGAAATGATTAAACCAATTACATCTAAATTAAGAAATGCAATTAATGGTGATCATCAAATAAAACATACTACTATCATTAATCGGAATACTTTAAATGAAGTTGGAGTTACTGATGAACTTCTAAATTTATGTGGATTAAATTATTTTACTGATCTTTCAGTGATTTATCAATCTTCTTCTCCAAGTAATGATTTATCAGCATTTACTCCTTGTTCTACTCAATTTTATAGTATTATTTCTGATTATTCTGAAAGTAGTTCTTTATGTCATTCGATATTCTAAATTTTTGTAATTAATTTCAAAGTTGTTTATCATTATTATTTGTTTCTTTTTTCTTTTTGAAATATTTTTTAAATATTTATACTTTTATAATAGAATAAAAAGATTATAAAAATACCAAAAATTGTTTTAAGAATTAGTTTCTTTATAATTTAAACTTGTGTGTTTTTTTTTTAATTTTGTTATTTTTTTACTAAAACCAAAAAGAAGAATGAAGTAATGAAGTAATAAAAAGTTCCCTTCTTTCTTACTCGAAGGTTACTTCTTTTTCATAATAATATGTTTTTTTTTGGATGATTGTTGTTATTACCTTATAAACCCTTCATAAGAACTTAATTTTTGATTCATTTAATGGAATTAGAACAGCAACAACATCTTATTGTTAGTGGAGTTGATGAAAATGGAAATAAGAAGAGAATTGAAGGGGATTATTATTTAATTTTACCATTAGAAGAAAATGCAGTATATCCACCATGTGGTATTATTGGAGGATTAAAAGATACATTATTGTTTATATTAACATGTTTACAATATTTAATTCATAATCCAATGCAATCAATTATTGTTGGATTAACACATCCATTATGTGTAGCTATTTTTCTTACAATAACTACAGGGTATTTTAGTGGAGTAATAATTTGTTTTTCACAAGAAAATCAAAGAATATTTTATAGGTTCCATCCAGATATTAAATATCAACAATTCATATTAGATGATATAGGATTTACTTTAATGCCATTTGTTGATATTGTTCAATTTGCTGATATTTATCTTGGAGCAATTATTATTATATGTTTAGTGTTTAGATTTTTTATAACAAAGTATCGTTTAATTATTTTACGAAGGTATTTTACTTTAATGGGAGTGTTATTTGCAATTCGATTAGTTTGTGTTTATTTAACTATCTTACCTGATCCATCTCGAGCTAAAACTACTGTTAATTCAAATCCATTCTTAGAAGGATTTTATATTATGACAGGTCTTCATTTCTCAACAGTAGATAAATTATTTAGTGGTCATACTATGTCCATCACTTTAATAGCTTTGTTTTGGTCACATTATTCAGGAAGAGTTCCTATTATTGATTTCAACCCATTTAACTGGAAATGGGTTACTTCTTATGGATATCCATTAAAAATTACATTAACTTCATTATACGTTTGGGTATATGTTATGATTGGATGGTGTTTATTTGTTATGTTAAGAAGACATTATAGTGTTGATGTGTTTCTTGGTGTAATTATTTGTGTTGCTGTCTTTGAATGGTATCACAGTTATATCTTAACAAGTTGCACTCGTAAAAATATATTTAATGCTTTTATCATGTGGATGGAACAAGACGCTCCAGACATTCCTCATGAGATGTATTATTTTAAACAAGAAATGCCATTAGAGTCCCTTCAAATTAACTGATTGTACTTTTTATTGAAATTAAATCTTGTTTTATTATTTTGTTTAGTTTGTAACTCAAAAAAATTATAATAGATTATTTTTTGATTAGATTATTGAATGATATTTGATGTTCAATACCTTACTTCATAAACTATATTCAGTAACATTTATCAATCTATCAAATACCATCTGCTACAATTCATTATTTTGTTATGGAGATAACTTCAAATCTCATTAAATCATAATGTTTTTTTTTCAAGAAGTATGTTGTATGTTTTTATAGATTTTCCCAATTCATAGTTAAGTAACAGAAATACAATATAAATGAAAATAGTACTTTAGAAGTGTTTGAATACTGAGAAAATGATTTTGAGAAGTTAAAGAAAGAAATACTCACAAATAGATTGCATCAGATTATTAGAAAATAACAATAATAAACAATATTTAGTGAAAGTATGAATTATCTGGACCATTCAATATTCTTAAATTTAGTATTAGTATTATTAAAAATATTCTTTCAATTATAATAACTCAAAAGTATTGATTTACACTATTCAAATAATTCTACATATTTATTTTATTCAGTAACTTTATATTCAAATATAACACTTTTTAATTTTCTTGATAATCTAAAAGATACTTCTTTAGAATCTTTCATTGTGTTAACTCTAAATTTGTTTGTATTTATTCTTTCATTATTTGTGATAATGATATTTCATTTTCTTTTTATCATTGTTTTATTAGTGTTTTAATCATTTTCAATAACTGTAAACTTACTAATTTATTGTTTAAACTTTCTGAATATATTTAATTTATCTAAGACTTCATCTATTTTTTACTTAGTAGTTTTTCTTTCTTCTGTTATTCATCTTTTTTTTATGTTTTTGTAAATCTAATTCTTTTTATCTCTATTTGGTTTATTGTCTGTGAATACCTTTTTCATTCAATTCAACTATCAATTTTGATACTTTTGATTAAACAGTTTTTTATTTTATCCACTTTGTAATTACTTTGTTTCTTATTACTTATAATACATATTCTTCTTTTGGTATGAGTTTGTCCAGTGTCTTACTCATCTTACAAACATCATTTTATTTTTTCTTAATGACTTTATAAATGTTTTCAGTTTATTTATTATTCAATGTAAATAAACTGACTATTAATTATATTTTAATAGTACTCTATCAAATAACTTAATTAGAATGTAATAATCCTCTTTTTAATGACTTAATGATATATAACACTCAAAAAATAATAAAAATCATCTTAATAATGTAACTAATTTTTATTTAATCCAAGAAGACTTCTTTATTAATTAAATTAGTTAGTACGGTATAATTATGAAAATAAATTTAATATTTATCAAAAATATATTAAAATAAACATCAGTATAATGTGCATATAATCAATAATTCTATAGATCTGTCAAATCAACAAAAACTTTCTTTTTGAGTTCTTGAATCAAATTATTTCAATAAAACAAATCGGTTTAAAGAAAAATATTGTTTCAAATAGTCATGTTGATAATAATCAGATAGTGTGATAATGTTTGATGTTATTTTATTAAGAAGGAAGAATAGTAAATAGAATTAAAATGAAAAAGTATTTTCTTATTATTTTTTCAGAATTTGAACTCTGAATGAACCATTGTCTCATGACTGATGTGCCACCAATCAATAGAATTCGAAGAGAATCAACATTATCCAGAGATGAATATAGAGAAAGAATAGTACAAGAAATATTGGAAACAGAAATTTCGTATGTAGATTCACTTCACACTTGTATTGTTTATTATTATGAAAAACTTCAAACATGCCAACCACCAATACTAAGTCGTAAACAAATAGAAGATATATTTCTTTATTTTGACCAAGTCTATAATGTCAATCAAGCATTTTTGAATGATTTACAAACATACAAAATTGAAGGAAAATTAAGTCGTAGTATTGGAGAGACATTTCAACGATTTATTCCTTATTTAAAAGTATATTATCAATTTATTGGAAATTCAGGTGTTTCATTACATACATTAACTGAATTAGAACAATCTGAATACATTTGTTCTGTTTTTGAAGATTTAAGATGTCAAATACCTGGTACAAATCAATTAGACCTAAGGGGATTTCTTATTATGCCAGTACAACGATTACCACGATATAATTTATTACTTACTGATTTATTAAAAAGAACTCCTAATACATATGTTGATTATCCTAAGATAGAAATTGCACTAAAAGAAATGAAAAAATTAACTGATTCTGCAAATAAAGCAATTATAGCTGCAGAAAGAAGAAGAAGATTATTTTTAATTGAAGGAAAAATATCAGGTTTTTCTGGAAAACTTGTTGAACCTCATCGATGTTATATTAAAGAAGGAATGTTAATGAAAGTATGTCGTAAAACAATTAAACCGAGATATTTTTATTTATTTAATGATATTTTAATTTATGGAATTGGAGATTCAAATAATATGGTTATTTCTCAAGTTGTAGATGTAGCTAATATTGTTGTAAAAAATGTAGAAGGAAGTATTAATGGATTTGAATTATTTACTAATAAGAAATCATTTGTTGTATATGCAATAGATCAAAATGAGAAACAAGAATGGATAAATGAAATTAATAAAGCAGTTGAAAAAATGTTAAATACATTAAGAACAAGAAATCAATTAAATGATGATACATTTATTAAACCATTATTTGTTCCAGATGATACTGTAGTGAAATGTATGATTTGTAATAAACCATTTTCATTTTTTATAAGAAGACATCATTGTAGATTTTGTGGTAAATGTGTTTGTAATGATTGTTCTTTAATGAGATTACCTCAACCACCACTCAATATATTTGAAAGAACTTGTTCTATTTGTGTTGATAGAAGATTATTGTCAGCTCAACCTATTGATAAAGATTTAATAAGAAGTTCATTATTTAGTTTAGATTCAATTTCAATAGAACCTACATCTCTATTACTCAAATAATATGATATTTTTTTTATCTTTTAATTTATTTTATTATTTTCATTAAAATAATAACTAAAAATACCTGTGCCTATCAATAAATCATTATAAAACAAAAATATATTATAATTTATTATACTTAAAAACAAATAAATCTTAGACATTCAAACCAATACTGATGTTTGTATTATTCATGCTATTCACTATTATTTTTGCAGCTAATATTGATTACTCTATTTGTCTACCTGATCCAACACAAACAGAGGTTATATTTACTAAAGTAGATGGAGATCCATGGCCTCCAGTAATTGGAAGTAAATTTAAATTAAATATGGTTGGAGTTTTAGATAGATATTGTGAAACATTTATTGCAAGACCACTTTTAAAAATGCATAATGGAGATGAGTGGACTACTGTTCCATTAGGAAATAAAGATTTATGTGGAACAGTAGTTAAATGTCCAGTTCTTCCAGGACCAATATCTATTAAATTTGAAATGGAAATTCCTAATATGAGTCCTCCAGGTACATATAAAGGAGAATTTACATTTACTGATGGTGATTATAATATCACTTGTTTAGGATTTATGCTTGATATGAAATAATTTTGTTTCTTTCTTTCTTTGTTTATTTGTTATTAATTATTTTAAAAAGAATTTATCTGAATATAAATTTAAACAACAATAAAATTATTTAAAAAGAAATGAATTTCTTAAATAAAATAAGAAGATCTTCAACAAGACATTTAACTGAATATTTGTTTTTAAGTCTATTAAAAAATGACATTTCATTAATAATTCTTCTTTTTTAAGATTTTATAATAACAATTTAATGACCTTTGTTAGCATTTTTATTGGAAAAAACTTTAAAATATTTCAACATTAGGAAACCCTCAAGAAAACCCTTAAAAAAGGACAAATGACTATTTAAAAGGATCTTTAAGAAAAAAATATCAAATAAGATGGCAGCACAAGATTATAAAATCAAAGACATTAAACTTGCAGATTGGGGAAGAAAAGAACTTACTCTTGCAGAATATGAAATGCCAGGTTTAATGGCTGTTAGAGAAAAGTATGGTAAAGAACATGCTCTTGAAGGAGCTAGAATTACTGGATCACTTCATATGACTATTCAAACAGGTGTTTTAATTGAAACACTTAAAGCACTTGGAGCAAATCTTAGATGGGCATCATGTAATATTTTCTCAACACAAGATCATGCAGCTGCTGCTATTGTTCAAGCTGGTGTTCCTGTATTTGCATGGAAAGGAGAAACAGTTCAAGAATATTGGGAATGTACTCTTAAAGCACTTAAATTTGGGGAAAATCAAGGACCACAAATTATTGTTGATGATGGAGGAGATGCTACACTTATGATTCATACAGGATATCATGCAGAAGAACATCCAGAAATTCTTGATGTTAAAGGAACAGAAGAAGTAAATGCACTTCATAATGTTTTAAAGAAACAACTTAAAGAAAATCCACATTTTTGGCATAATATTTTACCAGAAATTAGAGGATGTTCTGAAGAAACTACTACAGGTGTATTAAGATTAAAACAAATGGTTAAAGAAAAGAAACTTCTTTTCCCAGCTGTTAATGTAAATGATTCAGTTACTAAATCTAAATTTGATAATATTTATGGATGTAGACATTCATTAATTGATGGTATTAATCGTGCTACTGATGTTATGATTGGAGGTAAAGTTGCATGTGTTTGTGGATATGGTGATGTTGGAAAAGGATGTGCTGAATCTCTTAGAGGACAAGGAGCACGTGTTGTTGTTACTGAAATTGATCCAATTTGTGCACTTCAAGCATCAATGAATGGATATGAAGTTACAACTATTGAAAATGTTCTTGATAGAGCTGAAATATATGTTACAACTACTGGTAATACTAAAGTTATTCTTGCAGAACATATGGCACATATGAGAAATAATTCTATTGTTTGTAATATTGGACATTTTGATAATGAAATTGATGTTGCTGGTATTGAAAGTTATCCTGGTATTATTCGTGAAAATATTAAACCACAAGTTGATAAATTTACATTCCCAGATGGACATTCTATCCTCCTTCTTGCTGAAGGAAGACTTGTTAATCTTGGATGTGCTACTGGTCATCCAAGTTTTGTTATGTCAAATTCTTTCTCTAATCAAACTCTTGCTCAAATTAAATTATGGAGAGAAAAACTTCCAATTGATTGTATTACTCTTCCAAAAGAACTTGATGAAGAAGTTGCTAGATTACATCTTGCTAAACTTGGTGTTAAATTAACTACACTTACTGAAGAACAAGCTAATTATATTGGTGTTCCAGTAAATGGACCATACAAGAGTGATACTTATCGTTACTAATCAATTTCTCTTTTTTTTATTTATTTATTAAAAATTGTTTAATATAAAAATATATAATAATTTAAAATTTAAAAAGACAAAAATATTTAGTATATTTTTTTATTATTAAAAATTTAAATTATTATATTAATTTAAATATAATCTTAAAAAAAAATTAAAAAGGGATAAATTTATCATCTTTCAATGAGTATTTTTTAAATACCTTTTAAACAATTTGTTTTTTTTATTTTTGTTCAGAAGGTGTCGTTGTTTGTTCTTCCTTTTTTTCTTCACTTTTTGATTGTTCTCTTGGACTGGTTGAGTTGTTTTCCTTTTTCATTGCCTTTTGTTTTTCCATTTCCTTTTTTATTAATTTCATCATCTTTTCTTCTTCATCAATATCCTTTTGATATAGTTTTCTGAGTTTTGCACTCACCTCTCTTTCTTTTTCTAAAAAGTCTTCAATAGCTGCTAATACAACATTATGTGTTGTTTCATAATCTTTTGAAGTACACTCAACATACCTTTTAGCTTTTAACTCTTTAGCCATTTTTTCACCTTCTTTTTTTGAAATATGATCTTTGTTATTGTCTTCTCTTAAATCAACTTGAGTGCCAACAACAATAACTGGAACAGTGGGTGCGTATTTTCTTAATTCGATAATCCATTTGTTTTTAATATTTCTAAATGATGATCGTTGTGTTACACTAAAGCATAACAAAAATACATCAAAATTACAATTGTTATAACACCCAGCACGGTATGAAGAATATTCATCTTGTCCAGCTGTGTCCCATAACGAAACATTAAATATATCATTTCCTACAGGTTCTATTTGACAGAAGTTATCAAAGATAGTTGGTGTATATTCAGTCAAAAATGATTGTGACGTATAAGATAATAAAAATGTAGTTTTTCCAACAGCCCCATCTCCGACTAGTCCAATTTTAATAACTTTATTAATCTTTGCAGTCATGTGGATTTAGTGAATATCTTTCTAAGTTCTTTTCATTCATTTTTCTCTATTTTTTGTTTTCTTCCTTGGAGTAATTATGAAACATATAAAAACATAAAAGAAAAAGTTTATTTTTGGATGATTTCAAATCTGCTCAAAATAGTTTTTATCTTTTAGATTCAATACAAAAATATGATTTATTTTTTGATAATTTTTGCCCCAGACAAAGAAAGGAGTGTACTACAATTGCTTATTAGATTCAAATAAAAAATTATTATATTTGAATTGACATTTATCAAATATTTTTTTTTGAGTTAAGTTTCACTATCTTTTTAAATTTAAATAGTGTAATTCATTTTTTGTAGACGTTTCCTCTTCATTTGTTGGTTTTATTCTTTCTTTTTTCAGGAGAAGTATTGTCATTATTAAAACAAAGTTTTTTGAAGCAATTAAGATAGTTTAAAAGAAGAGACTCACTGTAGTTTACAGAATTAGTGAAGAGTTTTTCTTTTTTACAGCTATTAGTTCAAAACCTTTTATCAAATAACTTCATAAGGTTGAACTAGAAGTTAGATTTCTTCTTTTATTTATTTATGATAGATATAATATTATTTTCTGTTTTTTGAATGAAAATAAGAGTACCAATAACTAAAGGAATAATGATTAGTATAATTAAAGAGTCTAACTTAGTTTAGTTTAATTGGGTTATTAATTAGTAAATAAGGATGATGGCAATAAATTTTCATAAACAGTTAATAAATATTTTTATTGTTTGTAGTATTATAGAAAAATTATTATGTTTGATACTGAAAAAAAGGAGAAGAAAAGAAAAAGAGTTAAAGAAAAGTAGACTTAGTAATTTTTGAAGAAGCTGAAGATTTTAAATAATTAATTCTAATATCAAAAAGAGGTTTTCTAATTTCATCAAGAATTATAGAAATAGTGTTATTAGAGATTTCTTCGATTAAAGAGTCATAAGAGTAAGACTTGCAAAGAAGATTAAAGATCTGAGTTTTAGAAATATAGGCTGAGTTTTGAGAGATATTATCAACGTTAATATATCCATATCTTCTATCAAGATTATCAAAAATGGATTTTTTAAGATGAGAGAATAAAGATGAGTTAATATTATTTGCAGCAATATAAGTAGAATAAAAAAGAGAAGAAGAAAATGGTTTTGAAGAAGTAGGACGTTTTAAATAAGAGAGAGCAGCAGAAGAATAACTAGGAAAGATTAATGAAGGATAAGAGATTTTAGTTTGATAAGAGAAAGAAATACAAGGAAGATTTGAGAGAGAACGAAAGAGATTTAAGTCTGAAAGAGAAGTAAAAGTAATAAGTAAGATTTGAGACAAATGAAGAAGAAGAGTAGGATCTAAATTATAAAGATAAGGACTAAGATTAGAGGTAAGTTTGGGAATATCACTTGACCACTCATTAACAATGCGAGCAGGAATGATATCATTAAAAGCATAATGTAAAATATCATCGTCAAGATTAATGTTTGAAGAAATAGAAAAACAAGAGAGTGTATCAATAAGATTTGAAGAAGAAGTATTAAGTCTATCACGAATAATAGTAAAAGGAAAAGAAGGTATTTGGTCAATAGAAATAGGATTACTAAAAATAACAAATAAATTGAAATTTGAATAAGAAGTAAAAACGTTAGTTATTGGATTATTAAATAAAAATAAAGAACGTTCATTTTGAAGATTATCCCAATCATTAATATTTTTTTGAATAAGTAATTTAAGAATACCTATGTCATAATTTTGAATAGAATTTGTATTAATATTATTATCAGTAATACTATAATTATTATTGAATAAATTCGTAGATTTTTCTATCTCATTAATAGTTTTTTCTAAAGTAGAAATAATTTGTTCTTTCAATTTAATATTATAATTAAAGAAATTATATTTTCTAATTAATAATTTAATATCTCTATTTGGTTTTTCATTATAGTATTGTTTAACAATATTTGTTAAAAATTCTTTATCTGTTTTCATTAAATTTAAATATTTATTTGCTCTTCTTCCTATATTTTTTACTAATTTAATTCCATAATTATAAAATAATGATATAATTGCTATTTCTGATGTAACTCCTTCTTTTTCTCCTTCTTCAATCATTTTATAATAAACATAACGAACGTGTTGTGTTGATTTTTGAATAATAGTAGGTTCTTGTAAATTATTATCTCTTTTTTCATCTAAATGTGCTAAATTGTGTCTAGTTTTTTTCTGAATTGGATATAATTTTTCTTGTTCTATTCCAAAGTATTCTCCAAGATTATATTGTGGTAATGAACTTTCAATGTAATTCTTTTTTTGACTTTTTTCTATCTTTTTTATTTCTCCTTCTCCAATAATTTTAGCGTTAATTTCTATTTGTGTTTTTTTAATTCTTTCTTTTTGTTCTTGGTATTTTTGTTTTATTCGTTTTTCTCTTTTTATATCTTCTTTATTATCTTTTTTTGTTGTTCTTCTTATATACGGTTCTTTTTCTTTTCTTTTTTCTTTGTTTTTATCTTTTTTTTTTCTTGTACTCTTTTCATCCTTATATAAACTACCTTCTATTATTCTTCTCTCTTCTTTTCTATAATTTAGTATTTCTTGTGTTGTCATGATCTTTTATTTAATTTCTTGTTCTTCCTCATATCTTTCTATTCTTTATTTAGTATTATTAATTTTTTTATGATTAAATATCATTTAATCTTTATTTTGTTTTATTAAATAATTCATGGATTCATATGAACAAATAAGATAATTTTAATAATTTTAATAATTTTAATAATATTATTTTGAGAAATAATAATTTATTTAAATTACATTTTTCAGTTATTTCTTTTTTTTTATTATATAGCTTTTTTCATTTATTACCAAATTCATTTATTACTGATACTCTTTTCATAACCTGCATATTTTTGTTTTTCATTAAATCAAAAGTGTCACAGTTTTTTTCTTTATTTATCATTAATACGATTTATATTCAACTTAATTATTCTTATTCTTTTCTAGTTGTTTTAATATTACGGTTGTTTTGGCGTCAAATACAAATATCAATTTTTATTGTGTTTATTAATTATTTAATTAATAACATTCGACTTTTCTATCCATTTATAACACTGTTATATATTAATAATATTTATTACCAATCACTATCATTTTAATTCTTTTCGTATTTATTTCTTATTATTTTTTATATTCAAAATAGTATTCAAATAGACACAAGAGTGACATATTTTGGTTCAATCAACTAACATCTAATCTAAAACAATATTACAACGCCAATAATTAATTATAATTAATTTTAATTTTATATATGACAAGAATAAAATTAAAGGTAAATAAAAATAAAAGATAATTAATAAAAGTTCATGGATATATAAAATAAAACACACTCAATTAGTTTAATTCAAACACAAATTGTTTGTTTGATTTTAAATTAAATATTCTTTAATTTTATTTGTATTATTTAAGATGACTTTGTATTTATTTTTTTCCTTAGTAACCAGTTTCAAGTTGTAAAATCTTTCATAAGTTTTACTTCATTTATTTTAATTTTTATTTCTTTTAATAGTATTCTGCTTTTTTAATATATATTAAGGGATGTGAAGACTACTATGTTCATTTTTATATTTATCATTTCATTTATTGATAGATGAAATGTTCATATTCATTTATTGATTTTATTTTATATTCTTTTTTAGTTTTTAGTTTTCAAATAAATAATAATGAATAAAAATCATTTCATTTCAATTACAATAATTCGTTGTAGTGTGAATTTATCTGGATATCCATTTCCACAAAGTGCATTTATTATCCCTTTTTATTCAAAAGCTTGTGATTGTTTACAATATGATTCTGTTTTAAAGCCGTTTTTAGAAATATGAATATCACCAAGTCCAAAGTGAAACAACCGTTCATCTGATGGATAGCATAAAATAAATACGTGTTGAGGATCTCTAACATCAAATTTCATCATTCCTTTTATTCTTCCATTTGATTTTAATGAAAATAAAAATGATTTTGGATCATTTATCCAGTTAACAACTTTATCAATTTTAGAATTAATATATCCTCCAAATTTATTTCCTTTTGTATCTTCAATAATAATTATTATGTGTTCTTTATTTATTATTCTTTGATCAAATACTGACGACTTCCTATTCCAATCATCACTATCTGAATCAAATAGTATTTTTGATACTCTTCTTTCTGTCCATTCTTCTAGTTGTTCAATTTCTTCATTTGTATTCATTCCTTTCATTCTTTCTATTATCTTCTTTTTCTCTTCATAATCACTATAATGTTTTGTCCATTCTTCTTTCTTTTTGTTAAATTCTTGGGTGATTTTATCTGTTTCTTCTGGTGTTCGGAGTAGTTTCATATCCATTTCTTCAATTGAAATGATTTTATTAATTAGTTCATTCCGTGTTTTAATTAGTATTTCTTCATCTTTATTACATTCTTCTATTATTTTGTTCATTTGATTCTTTATTATTTCAACTACTTTAATAGTTTCTTGACTTTTTTCTATTATTAGTTTTCTTCTTCTTTCTGTTTCATCAATCCTATCAAATATTCCTTCTCCTCTTTTAATAGCTTCTGAATATGTTTCATCTGGTTTTATTTCAAATATTTCATTTTTAATACTTCCTAAATAATAATGATAATGTTTATTAATATCATCAATTAATTGTTGAATATTTGGAAGCGTTTCTATTTCTTCTTTAAAGAAATGAGTGTTCTTGTTTATTAACTCTTCTATTTTAATTTAATTAATATCAGATCAAAATAATAAGATTAAATAACTAAATACACGTTTATAATAAAGCAAAATATAGTAAGAGAAGTAAAAATAGAAAAGAAGAAAATAGTTTGAAAATAACTATAATTATTTTATTATAATTATATTATAATTTATATCACTTTTTTTACTTTTTTTTTAATCAAAATTCTCTTTTTTATATTTAGATAACTTGTTATTTTATTTTTTTTGTTATTTAACATTTTGAATGATAATGAAATATTTCAATCATTTTATTTATTGTTCAATTTTATTCATTCTCATTTTCATGAATCTATTCAACAAAATAAAAATGATTTATTACTCTAAATAGTAAGTAAATATTCAACTTAACATATTCTATTATATTTTGATTAAATTAAATCTTCTTTATTTATTAATGAATTATTAAATTATTCGCAAAAGTGAATATAATTTGTGATAAATTTTAAATAAAAATATTCATTACATTATTAACACAAGAAGTAGTTGTTGGTATGAACATATCATTGAGAAGTAATAAAAATCGACAATTTTAAAGAATGTATCATTTCATTAATTACTACATTCATTTATCATAATATTCATTAAAAAACAACAATAATTCTTATCCAACAATTTGAATTAGTTTAACCAATTTAAACAGAAAAAGAAAAATAATAATAAATTGATGAAATAAACATCAATCAATATTCTAAAATGTAAACCATTTAATTATGAAATACACAAACTTATTTTAGTGATAAATTAAGAAATATCTTATATATCTCATTTAATGAATAATGAACAAGAAGAAACAAAGTGAATCAATAACGGATTATATTAAAAATATAAAAGATACAATCATTCAATAATTAAATCATCTTTTAAATATCTGTTAATATTTCAATATCTAAACAAAAATGAAAATAAACAAAAGAATAAAATATTAACAAGGTTAAATGAAAAATAAACGAAATATTAACAAAACATTTCACCAATTAAAACTAATTGAACAATAAAATGAATTGCTTTTCATTTATTCAATTGTTTCAGTGAAAATATAAATAAATGACAAATAAATTTAACACATACAATCAAATAAAAGCAAGAAATAACTTAAAAACATGAAATGAAGAATAAAGTCATTATAAATATTTCATTTTTAATTTTTAATTGAAATAAGATAATAATATAAATAAAGGAAAATAAGTTAATTTTATATTTTTATACTAATACATTTTTATATCTTTAATAATTACACTTCATAGAATAATCACAGTTACATACTATATTCATTAGACACAAGAAATAAATTAATTTAATGGTGCATATTTAAATAAGAATAATGAATGAACAATGATATTTGAATCAAAAAAGAATGAAGAATTAATAGATCAAATGAATGAAATGAAACAATAGATATTAAAGAAATGAGTAAAAGATAATTTATGAAGAGGAAATGATAGATATCAATTGTTAAAAGAGTTGAAACGATATATTCAATGAAAGATAAGAATAGATATAATAATAATGAATTGAAAAAAAGAATAAATAAAAAATAGAATAATAAGTTAACGATAGTAAAAGGGAACCAAAATAAGCGAAGAAATTATGCATTTAAATAAAATGATCAAATGAAGATGGTGTATTATATTTTTTTGATTATTAGATTATTCTGTTTTATATTATTTTCTCTTAAAATTATAAAATATAAAATATAAAATATAAAATAAAATAAAAAGTAAGTAAAATATGAAATCTATAACAATCAGTTGACATTTTGTAACTTCTTGTTGTATTGAGTATGATGTATATTGATTTGTTGAGTATATTCATTCATAATTCTGTTCATTTTATATTATTCTTTATTTCATTTCATTTACCATCAATTCTATTTTAATGTGAAAATAATATTATGAAATGTAATAAAGAAGAATATTATGTTAATTCAAATTTATAATGTTAGTTATGAATAACATTGATTATATAAATATGAATATCAATCTTATTGTTATTAATGTGTAATTATGTTACATTTCATTTATCATACTGATGAGATATCATAATGATATGTTAACAAATGTTATTATTTATTTAAATGATATAATTAATGATATGAAAATTAAATTATATCACAGATGATTATCAATGATGAATGATGATAATATACAATGTAAATTATTTATATTATCATATCAAACAAGAATTAAATGATGAAATAAATAAAAAGATAATAAATAAGAAGTATCAATGAAATGATGATATGATAATAACAAATTAAATAATTTAAACATCAACACAATAATACAGAATGAAGAATGACTATTTAATATGTAATATAAATTAAACATTTATAATTAATAATAATGAATTTAATGTTCATCTTTAACTTTCATTCATGATAATAACTCATTAATTTATCATTAATCATTATATTTACTTTCTTATTATTTTCTTTATTCTTTCTTTTATCATTTTCTTTTTATATTTATTTTATTTCAATTTCATCAACAGATATATTCATTTAATACAGAAATCGAAGTAGAAAGATAGAACTAATAATATACAAATATGTTCTTCTCATATTTAATCACAAATATTTTCATCTAATAATATTTTCTACTATTTTTTACCTTTTAAATATTTAACAAGAATTAATTTGCATTATGATAATTCATTTCAATGATCTATCAAACATAAACACCATGTTTTAAACAAACAATGAAGACATTCATTACATTTAGACAACAATTATGAAATAATGAACAAGTTCACAAATCATTATAATAATATAATTATGAATACGAATAAAATGCATAATTTAGTGACCTTATCATTAACTAAAATATAAGAT